ATTCGGTGGTTCTACGCTTAGGGCCCTTACCCTTATCTTTTGAAGGATTCTTCTTCTCAGCCCGAGGAGGGACCACATCCACCAAAGGCTCAGCAGGGCGAACCCCAATTAAAGGAGTAGCAGTAGCAGCAGTGGCCTCGACCTTAGCACGTTCTTTTCAGACTTGGCAGAAGGAAGGGACGTTAGCACCAGAAGAATCCATAATACCTATGAAAAAGATAAGTTAAAATCAAATTCACGATCACGAAACATGAGCAAAAGAATAATATATACCTTCAAGGTCCCAAATGGGATTGGGAGACTTAAGCAAATCTATGAGTCGTCAACATGGGAGGTCACGAGGAAGACTTTCCAAAAAGGAGAAATCAGAAAATTCCTCGGGTGTAAGGAAGGAATGAGGAAGAGTATCATATCGAAGAGGAGTCTGAGTCCAATAAAAAGGAAACAAAAGAAGTATTATGATTATCAAAAAAGTAAGATTGACCACTCGGATGTATACACACCTTGAAAAACCCCACGTTGATCTTTTTATAAGAAGAGGTGAAAGGTTTCAAGAGTCTCCGAGAAGGGACTCGAGCTAAAGAGACCCACTTAACCTACTCGGCTGGACGACAATAATAATGAAAAAGAAATAAACTAGGTGTGGCTTTTACATGGGTAAACTTGCAGAGACTCCAAAAGGCTTGCATGGATGCCCAACTATTTGGATGCAATTGCGTAGGTGATACCTTTAGGATTCGGAGAATATTGGTGGAGAAAGGATGGAAAGGAAGAACAATGTCGAGGTCACGAAAAAGACAATCATACATGTAAAAAAATTGTCTCGGTTTGGTATACGGTTGACAAGCACATATATAATTTGGAGTAGAGGAGGCATCGATTTTACAAGTCCTAGCATAAATAGGGTATGGTTCATCCCTGGAAGGGAAGGAGGATATTTCTACAATGCCTATGAAGTTTTCTAAAAGTCTAGGGTCACAAAACCTAGAATTGTATGTAGCTACCTCAGGATGAACCCATTCAACCCCCAGTACCACTTTAGACTTACTATCATAAAGAGGATCTATATCTCCATCCTCGTCCTCGATAGAGAGGACACCTTCAACATGATTTAAGTTTTCGGATGAAGATGAAGAACCCATACACGAGTGACGAAGAGAATCATTATTCTCAAATGAAGACAAATTAGAAAAAAGAGAAGAAAAACTGGAAGTAGAAAAAGAACTCATTACCTAGAAAAGCAAAGAAGACTTCGGGTAAGACAAAGCATAAGAAACCAAGAGCAACTAGGAAAAGAGTCTTCGGCCTCAGATAACAAAATTTTCAACATCAAAGAAAATAGCATGGTAAAAATAAACGAGTATTTATAGCCGCGGGGTGAAAAAACCTCTCCGTAAAAAAAATGCCTGATTTTTTTAGGAAATCATAACACTTTTAAGCAATTTCAAGGCCGAAGAGACATTTGATCGTAGGCACAAACGTTACTAACACGCAACACTTAATACGAAGAGACGTTTTTGTTGTTTTCGTACATACAAATAAAAAGTTCTTATAGCTAAATGAAGGGAAATCATGACGTTTTTGTTGTTTACCCCGATGAAAAAAAACATTAAAAAGGGTTGTGGAAGCATTCACTAGTAATGTCAGCCACCTTTTTGGATAAAGCAATGGAAATACGACAAAATTGGTGCACGTAAGAAATATTAGTGAATCTTATATATCCATGGTACTAACATTACATATCCAGGTGCTTAACAAAATATATATATATATATATATATATATATATATCCCTTATTTGTATTTTAAGCTTTCTTCGATTATTAATAATAACAAATAATTATTAATAATCTTGAAAGCCTGGAGGCATGTATATAGGATATAGATAAGACCAAAGTACCATAAGAGAAAATCGGAGAATCCTCAACATAGATATTTTAAGGAGTGATTAGCCAGTTTACAAGAGCCTAAATCACTCCACATATACCAAGATTATTGGACCCTAATGGGCTTGGTTGTGGGCCTAAATCCATTAAGGTTAGTATAAATAAGTGTAATCAGCGACTGATAAAGGTACGTTTTCATAATTACCAGTTGGATTAGCATTGATATCTCTAAGACCGAGTACTGACTTAAGCATTGGAGTGCCTTTTGCAAGTACCCTCTCTTCTCCTAGGATACATCATGAAGACGAAGACCAAACAAGAGTAGCAAAATTACTGGAGTACCCTCGTGTAGGTACACTATGTATTGTAGTTCCTCTACCACTTGCTCATTTGTGACTTGCACATTATTAGTTGGTTCATTAACTATATGTTCAACTTGTGGGTTTTGAACATCAACTTGTCGTCTCTTCATGTTGTAAAAGTGTGATACAGCAAGAGGGATAACAACTTGAGAAGAGATATTAGATGTAAAAACATCACCAGAAGCTTTCGTGATTCCTCACTCCCACGATTGAATGTCCACCTTTTGTGATTCTTCACTCCCATTGAATTGGCCATTCTCAATGAACCTAGCATTTCTAGCCTCAACTATTCTCATACTATGATTAGGACAATAGAACCTATATCTTTTTGACTTTTCTAGATAGCCAATGAAGTAATCACTAATGGTTTTTGCATCAAGCTTTTTTTCATGTGGATTGTATATCTTTACTTCTGCTGGGCAACCCCAAACATGAAGATGTCTTAAATTGGGTTTCCTTCCAGTCCACAACTCATAAGGAGTCTTAGGAACTTCTTTACTAGGAACCTTGTTAAGTAAATACACAACAGTTTTCAATGAATGCATCCACAAAGATAAAGGAACATTGTTATGACTCAACATACTCCTAACCATATCCATAAGAGTACGATTTCGCCTTTTTGTTACACCATTTTGTTGTGGTGTACTAGGCATTGTATACTATGCATATATGCCTCGGCTTTCAAGAAACGTTGCAAAAAGCCCTGGACATTGTCCACTCTCATCAGTTTTATCATAATATTCACCACCTCTATCAGATCTCACCACTTTCACTTTTTTATCTAACTTCCTTTCCACCTCATTGATGAACACCTCAAGGACATTCACTGATTTAGATTTCTCACGCAATAAATATATATAACAATAACGTGAAAAGTCACTGATAAAAGTAATAAAATATCTTTCATGGCTCCAAGATGAAATATCAAAAGGACCACAAATATCAGTGTGTATTAACTCAAGAAGTTGACTGCTTCTTGTGGCAGGATTCTTTGATATGTGCCTAGTTTACTTACCTTTAAAGCAATCTACACATACATCCCGATCATCAAAATCCAATTGAGGTAATATCTCATTTTTCACTAACCTCATATCCTTTCTTTGGATATGTGACCTAATCTTTGATGCCATAAGAAAGTAGAACATTCATTATGTGCACTACATTTACTAACAACATTATGCTCAACATTAAACAAGAATTTAGAAAAATTAACACCAAGATTGAAACGATATAAACCATCCAATAAAGTACCAAAACCATAATAGTACGCAAGTTTATACAAATGAAAAACACTATTTCCAATCCTAAAATTAAAACCTAAACAATCCAACTTTACAACAAAAACTAAATTCCTAGCACAACTAGGAACATAAAGACACTTTTCAAGATCTAAACAACAACCAGTGTTTATTATCAATCTATAAGTCCCAATTCCTTATATTTATGCCTTCATCTTGTTCCCCATATATAAATATCTTTCAGTTTCTTTTATGGGTTGGATTGAAAGGAATCCCTGCATAATATTAGACACATGAGTAGTAGCACCAAAATCCAACTACCAGGTATTACTAGGTACTTCAATAAGATTTGATTCAAAACTTACAAAAACATAAATATACCTTTCTTTTCGAACCAAGCTTTTCTTTTCGGACAATCTTTCTTGAAGTGACCAATCTTCTTGCAAAAGAAGCATTTTTGGCCCTTCTAGATTTTACCCTCAAACACTTTCAATGGGTCTTTCACTACAAGAAAAATGTAAATTTCCGACGGAAAATTTCCAGTTCTCAAAACGAGTTACCCGATTAGGTTCGGCCTGATCCACCATGAGTTGACTATTTAATGGGTTAACTCAACTCAGTTCATTTATTAGTAAGCTCAAAAAAATTGAACTTGACCCGGCTCACCATAAGTTGGTGGGTTAAACGAGTTGGCTCACCTAATTTAAAAAAAAATACAATTTTTTTCATTTTTTTTTCCATCTTAATATACAACTAAAGCCCAAAAGGTTCAAACCTATTTTAAAAAAATGAGATTCGTAATTAAAATATCCATAAATGAATCATTCATCTCAAACATTAAATGATAATTCTAAATACAATCAAATAAAATCTAAATAATCTCAAATAGGCAAATATAATCCAAAATCATCTTAAACTTCAAATACAATCCAAAATCATCTTAAACTTCAAATACAATTCAAAATTATAAAAATTATAAATTATAATCCAACATTAAATCATTGTTGTCTCATATTAGACTGCACCATGACCTAATAATTGTTGCACTTTTTTTTTAATCATGGGTTACTCATCACGGGTTCAATTCGGGT